TCGGAGTTGGAACCAGTGTGAAACCGAACTTTTTGTCATTGCGAACGTTTTGCTAGGTTTTCAAAACAAACAGCGAACCTGAGCTAGGTTTTCAAAACAAACAGAAAACAAGCAGATCCAATCTTGATACCCGATCCAGGTTGGAACTGAATAATAAACGAATTTGCTATAAGATTGTTTCCTTTGTAATGATTTTATTCAACAACCGGATTATTGTCAGCTACTTATGGTAAGCCATGGAACAGGATACGTACAGTGGAAAAAAGGCTGTGTGCTAAAACAAATTGACAATAGTGAACATTATTTATCCTATGAAGAAAAATCTTCTAGAAATCCAGAATGTATCTAGTCAATTCAAGCATTGGATTTTTTTTCAAATCAAGATTCAGGATTTGGAACAAAAATATCAACCTTCTGAGAATTAATAAAGATTTTGCGATCTCACATCAGTTTTCAATATTCCGATCAAAATGAACAGATTCTGGGGATAAACGTTTCGTTTGATATTTTAAGGCTAAACATAAAACATCAATGTACCCGATACTCGAAATGCCAGGCATCGGTCAATTATTGACATTCCAATGTTAACCATCCTTTAATTGTCTGAATCTTGAGAATCTAAACAGGCAGCTTCGAGTAGACCCCTAACAGAGCATGGTGAAACACGTGGAGAAAACATTGAAGGAGTGTAAATCAATATTAGGAGATGGAGCAGGTCGTTTACGGGAATCCAATCCCATTCTACCCAGGATCAAAGGTCTCCCAAAGTCCACAAACCGGGGAATGAAATGCGAGAGATCGTGTCTGCAGTTGGTTCCCCTACCCACAAACTAACGAAGTGGTTAGTCACAGAGCTCCAGAGTATTCAGAATCAGTTTCAGAGTAAGGCAGTTAGTAACACCCAGGAGTTCGCCCAGCGATTACAATCTTCAGGAGACATCAACGAGGACGAGATTATGATCGACGTCATAGCTCTGTTTCTCAGCGTAACGGTCAAGGAAGCGATCAACCATTTGTGGCTATTAACACAAATAGAGGATTCAGCACGGAGAAACACGGTTCGAACGTACCTTAAGCTGACCCGCCGTTGAATCTTCTCTTTCCGAGATAACTTCTGCAAGCAGACGAAAGGAGCCCCAATGGGAAATCCCCTATCCCCCTTCCTGTGTGAACTTTTCATGGCAACTTGAGGACAATCCTGAAGGAGAAAGGAATATTACCAAACCGCTGGTGGAGGTTTGTCGACGAGATCTTCAGCGTTGTTAAATGGGAAGCTCTTCAACAAATTTTAGGTGAGATCAACAGAATTCATAAGGATATGAAATTCACTCAAAGGGTAGAAGAAGATGGAAAACTTGCAATTCTCGATCTTCTTGTCATCAGGAAATCGTCATCATCTTCTTCGCTTGAATACGAAGTTTTCATGAAACCAGCAAGCACGAAAAGAGTTATCCTCTATACTTCCAACGATTCGTTCCAGCAAAAAATGGCCGCCTTGCATCACATGATTCATTGGATGCAGACTCTTCCACTCAGTGAAACAGGAAAGTTTAAGGAATTGTAGTACATCTCCGAAGCAGCGAGACTCAACGGATACAAGAAGATCTCAATCCAGACAATCGTCGATAAAAAAAAAAGCTAAAATTTTACAAAGGAGATTATTTAGCTTAAAGCTGATATCACACTGTTTGCCCATACGACCAATTTTTGACTCGTTAAGCTTTGCCAAATAATTATATTTGTCATATTTGTTTGCCAAAGCCATTACACTTGTCTGCTATTTAACAAATATTTGACCAAGTACTACAAAACGATTATTTGACCAGCTATTTTTCAAGCTACGTATTACATTATTTGCAGTTCGCCAAGTTTATTTATTTGGTCATTGATTTTATATTTTATTGCTGATGGTATTTGGTTTAATTTAATTTGCGTTAAGAAAGCGAATTTCGCTGATCTCGGGCCAAATCCCAAATTGAAGATCATATGATCCATATCAGGTTCTGGGTCCACTGGAATCGGTTCAAGAACAAAAAATCTGGAGAAAAACTTTCATGTGTCAAGTAAATAATGCTTATCTCAGGTTTCTTTGTTTGCGGATCTCGTATCAGCTCCTTCAGAATTCTGAACCATATTTACAGAAGTAATGGATTTATATGATGTGACGCAGCAAACACATCAATTTTTTACAAAACTTTGTTCATGACTCGGAAAAGGCTATACTTTTAAAATTAAATTAGAACGGTGAATAGGGAATGTACTAAGTACAGCACCTGCACTCAGCAGGTGGTGAAGATGGCATTTGGCAAATGTTCTTTGAACATTTATAAAGTTTCCATTTAGGAAAGACTTTGAACCAGTTCTATGGCAAAACAAAGTTCCCAAATCTTTCCAAATGAAACAATAAAATTTTAAGAATAAGTTCTCCGTATAAATAATGAAATTAACTATTTAAAAATCTACCCGATCTGCGATCGATCATATTTCATCTCAAATATAATTTAAGTTGGCCCATAGGTAGTTCCGAAAACTTGAGAAATTATTTTCGGATCTCAGAAACAGCAAGCTTCTGTGTCGACAAGGTTCAAAACAACAATTTTAGAAACATTTCGGGATGAGATCATGGATATTTCACCTCCAATGTAAATGAAGTTGGTTCATTGGCATTATGCATTGCACGAATGGCCAAAGGATCCATGCTGCACGGTTCAATTTTGAAGAAGATCACTTGTCCATATATTTAATCTCATAGATTAGATTAGATTAGAATCTCATATCATAGAAATAGGTCCATTGGCGTCTGAAAAATAAAAGTCAGTTCTTCATATAAGTGATGAAAACCACAAATTCAAAATTTGGTTGGCTATAAATAACACATATCTCACCACAAATATATTAACGTATGTCCACTGGCATGCCCATTGGTAATTTTGGAAATATACAAAAATATTTCCGCATCTAAGGAATGGTAATAGTAACCATGCTATATCATTGTTAACTGGAGAAGTTCATTTTTCCATGTAAATAATGCAAACTACAATTTAAATATTTTGTAGGGCTGCCATCGTTGATATTTCATTCCAAAAATAAATAAAATTATCTAGTAATGAAACGTTATCATTAGAAATGAGCGCTCGAAGTTTCATATTTTTGAGTGAAGTCGGCCTCTGAGAGAGCCAATTTGAAATAAGGGTCTTGCACGGCGAACCATAGATCTAGGTCTAGTTGTCCGATTTGTGTTCCAAGGGGAATATTCTCACCCCCTTGGAACCTTGGGCCGCCGTATGAGGATATTTTATAAGTGAATTGAACGAGGATTCTCTTTAAATAAAACAAATTTGTATGGAGGATATGAGAGTTCTGATGACTTGCCACCTATATGAGCCTATATGAGTCATGCCTAAAGAGAAGTGAGTCTGCTCCGTCGTAGTCGAGTATCTATCATGCGCATGCTGCTATCAAGTGGTCGAAAGAGAGGTAGATGAGGTAGACAAGAGTTTTGCTTCGACCATTATGAAATTGCTTCACCAGAGGGTCATGCAGCTCAAAGTAGATGAGGCTATTATTGAGGAACTATCCCCGTTAATCATAGGAAGCCTCGGGTCCTTATGGACTTCCTTGAGAAGCCTACCGGATATCCCAGTAAAGTCAAAGAAACTATCCGAGAAGTCCTATGAAAGCCCCCAAACTCATTTTTTTTTGCATCAAATAAATCCTTTTCCACTTCAGTTGTTCCCAAACAGATTTCAGGAACACCGCTCCGGCATTCAAGAGGGACTTTAAATGATGACGGAATACATCATTTTTTCCCCTACTCGACTTGATCCAGAACTGATTCTGAAGGAACTTGTCCAGGAGTTAAAAAGTCCATATGTACTGATGTGTCATATAACATAAATCGTCTATTCCAGTGGTCAAGTACGATCACAACAATCGACAATTATTTGATGCTGTTTGCTACTCAAGAATTTCAAGAGTATCAAATAAATTATTTGGCTGTTTTCAGCAAACATGTTTGGCAAAAAATAAAATAGCCGTCACACTATTTGACGAATTGCCAAATAAATGAGATGACAAATACAAACCAAATATTTGCCATTGCAATATTTGGTCAAATATATTTGCCAAAATTTACCAAATATTTGACGTTTTGTCAAACAATGTGATGTCAGCTTTACCACTGCATCTGAACCCTTAAAACGAGTGTCCGTTCCATCTGATCAAGATATTACTTGTAAGCTAAGACCACAGTTTAAAAAAATCGGATTAAATTTACTTTTCATTAGTAGACATAGCTAGTTAAAGTCATTGTTAGGATCCACTAAAGACCCAGTTAATGTTTTAGGTACAGTAGGTGGTTATAAAATAAGCTGTAATCATTGTAACAATGTATATGAAGGACAAACCAAGAGAACTTTAGCATTTAGATTTAAAGAACATACAGCGGAGGCCAAAAAGCAAGAGGAAAATGGCCTAACATATGATTTCAAATTGATGGTTTCAGATCATATACATAACAGAGGACCACCAACTATCGACGAAGGACATCACGATTTTACGAACCTTATCTACACCATGGAAATTGGATGTTGCAGAAAGCCTCGAGATCAACATACAACGGGATTCAACTTTACTCGACAGCGAAAACAAGGAAACGGACACACATGGCTTTTCAAGTTACTACCTAGGGCACATCAACGAGTAAGCAGCTATGTAACTGCAGGGAGATTAGATTTAAGTTTAACTAGCTTCTAAGTGAAAATGTACCTAGGGTAATAAATATTCGATAAGTTACGATGTTTTCTTCAGCCAATTATTTGCTCCAGACACTGAAGAAGTCTGAACATTGTAGACGAATTACGCCTATCTGTCAAGGATAAGCAAATAAGGTAGTGGAATTAAATTGATCTAAATAATCGCCGACTGGACTGTGACCCAAAGGTGGACTAAGGTAACGTTTTGTGAACCCGGATTTGTAAAGATCCCCAACACAGTAACAATTTGATTGCATCTATTTTATTAAAAACACACTCCAAGATGATGATCGGAGCGTACTGTCAAAACAAAACAACAACGGTGGATTTTAATAAATAGACACAATGACGATTGATCATTGTATCATGGTGGTGTTTGGGCAGAACAGTTTACCAAGCATAATGGGCATGGGCTCCATCGTAGCTGACATGGGCGACCTCGACGGCTGGCGAGTAGGTCAGGGTCTTGGTGGCGTGGGCGGCAACCACTGGGGCAGCGTGGGAGTAGGTCTGGATGGCTGGAGCTGCGTGGGAGTAGGTCTGGATAGCTGGGGCAGCATGGGCGTAAGTCTGGATAGCTGGGGCAGCATGGGCGTAGGTCTGGTAAGCCGGGGCAGCATGAGCGTAGGTGGTATGGACAGCTGGGGCAGCATAGCTGATCTGCTTAGCGACGGCAACTGGGGCAGCATGAGCATAGGTGGTATGGACAGCTGGAGCGGCATAGGCGGTATAAGCCAGCTTGGGAGCTTCGTTGGTGATGCGGGTGTCGGACTTGCGGACGCTCGAGAAAGCAGTGTCGACGGCCTTGGAGTGGTGCGAGATGGTACCATCATGGCTGCGGATGGTGCTCTCGTGGGTAGCTCCGACGGCTGGGCTAGAGTAGGCAACAGTCTTGGCGACTGGGGCGGCATAGGCCAGTGGAGTGGCGTGCGACAGGCTGCTGTAGCTCACCGATGAGGCTGGCGAGTAGTGAGCGGCAACTGGAGCGGCATACGACACTGGAGCTTCCAGGTAGCCAGCGCTGGCAACGGCCAGAGAGGCGACGAAGACGACAAACTGCAAAAAAGCAATAAAAGGAATCACGATAAGTTCACGTTATTTCTTTAGCACAAACAAAAAATTCAGAACACTTCGATTCTTTTACCTTGAATGCCATTATGCTGGTAGAGTTGATGGTTGGTGCGTTGCTGCTGAAGTCACTGTGATCAATGATACCTTACTCTGGTCAGGACTCCAATTTATAGCGAAACTTAATCGCACGGGATGAAAAACGGACAATGCAGCGAAATGAAACAAAATACGGCAAACAGCACGAGATACACGCCCCAGCCGGGCCATTTACTCTTACGGGAGGCAACGAGAATATGCAATAACTACCATACTACAAACTAGCCCCCTGCAGCACACAGTACATAGTACGACAAAGAGCACAAGGAGATAAAAATGATCCCCCCAAAATTAAATGTAGTGAAGAATAAAAAAGCAGCAAATATCATGTACCTACCGAGGAGACACACCACTCGCCATGAAGCGTGTGAAAGTAGACCAGCAACCAGTCCATCGGACATACGGAGCGGAACACACGTCGTCAGGATGCAGAACTTGTTTCGGAAACTGAGCGTGATTGCTCTCAAGGACTAGAACCGATTGCCATGATCTTTCGTTTAAAGGTAGTTCCCCTCGCTCGATGGTTGGTTCTAGATATGTTGCAAAAAGTTCATACAGTAGCTTGAGCCGGTTTACCAATGAAGTAAGCCTAATTAGCGTTACAGCTTATGACGGGGGCACAAATTGACGATTGGGTTTGTTTAACCTGCAAACCTATTTTTAGCTATAAATCCTTATTAACTTCATGGTCGTGAATTCCTACACGCTAATATTATGGAACCCTAATTTGGGTACAGTTGGCTCAGTCAAAGATTTGCTAATCTACTGTTGCAACCGGGTTCATCGCATTTCAAGCATTGAAGTCTTTCGACAGACATTCCGAAAAATGCAATTTTATCAAAAGCCATTGCACATGTTGATTCACGCAACCAGTGCAGCAGTTGCCCTTGCATCGTTCGTCATCGTCAGCATCACCATGATCATCGTCGTCGTCGTCAACTTCGTCGACATCCTCAGGGGCAGCAGAAAAAGGCTAAATACCAGAGCACACGAACACGACTAAATGAAGTAAGATCAAAAGTGAACTCTTTTTTTTCTGCACATCCCACCAAGCCCTGCCACCTCCGTACCTACATATGAGCTTCCCTCGAATTCATCCGGAGCGGTTTTGTTGTCCAAGGTTAAGGTTATATAATCAGGCTCTTGCTCTTGTTGCCACTACATATTATTGATGCTTGCCTGTGTTCGAAGCTCGGGCATCACGCGAACATGAAAGAGAAAGGTTATACGGACAGGTCACCCCATGGCAAGTGGACAGACAAATGGGTGGTTTCTGGTTTCGCTTGTCGGTTGGCACAAATCGACTGGATAGTGATCGATTCCCAAAACTGGATTGGCCTTTGGTCTGATTGAATTGCCCCACTCGATTCCTGACCGAGCAAGGTCGCTTCAGCACGCTATAAATTCGCCTATGGTTAAACGTTAAAATAAGGTCAATGTAGCGGGTAGGATGCTGTTACGGTTAATCGAGCAGGTTGGATGGGAAATCGTTTGTATCGTTTGGGTGAGTAAGTGAGTACCGTTCAAAGTTGTTGCGAGCCCCCCCGGGGTGCCAGAGACCATGAAGGATCTATTGAGAATGCTATCGGAATGGGTATTGGGGTGATTCACTAAGACGACCATCTGTGACAGAGGCGAATGAGTCATTTCTAGTTTTGCCGTTCATGCACAACCAGAAAGACAAGTAGTTTAATTTAGTCGAACTGATCCAATGAATGCATTTCCAGTAGCAAGTGGTAGGGGCTGACTTTCAATTTCAGATTGAATAATCAAAAAAATCTGCTCGACACTCATGCATTATGTGCATGCAAGTAGTGGAATGGACTAGAAACTTTAAGATTCAGCCCAAATTTAACTAAACATTTATAATCCACTTTTCAAACAATGATTGATTGTTTTGCAATCACAGAATTTTTTCCAGGCCACATAGGTTGGAAAAAAAATAAAATTAAAGACTCGACCTATGAAACTTTTGGTTTGTATAAAACTGTGCATAATTATGTGTCATGGGCAATAATTCATATTTTTGCAAAAATGCAGCCATTTTAGATCTTGTATTTTTTTCAAAATGGCGTGTTTAACATTTTTCAATAAATTGTAGCTCTACAACGTCACTCTGATCGAAATGACACATCTGAGACAAATGTGTTTATTTTGTTGATATTGTTCGATTATTTTGAAGGCTCAATTGGATTAGCTTTACGGAGCCGATAATTCATTCATCATTGTTTGTAACAAAATTCACTTATTTATATGTCGACTAGGAGTTGGGCCGAATACTCGTGGCTTACGCGAGTTTATAGGAGTACATTATCGAAGGATATGATAAGGGGAGGAGCTTGGGGGTGAGGTTCCGCTGTCTCATCTGAGCGTTGTCGCCAGTATGAACGATAGTGCCACGTTCAGTGTTGCCACTTTTTTATACAATTTCAATCTGAATTTTCTCCGTAAAAAATCTGTTTAAGGTGAATTGCTGTGACATCCTTATTCTAGAAATAACTTTAAGTGCACAAATATCAGCTTCTACGTCATGCGCAGCATTCAAATTGTTACTCCACGTTTGCTGCACTGCAGCATACATAAAGTAACAATTTCAGGTGAAATGGGGCACCGATTTCCGAGATTTGTGTAATTGAATATTTGAAGTGGAAGTGCATGTATAGCCTACGTAGTGGCCATTTGTCGACTCTACAAGGAATCACCTTAAACTTTATCTGACTGACAAAAATCTGTATAACAATCCGTATAATTTCTTTATTATGATTTTAGTGTTGATCTTCGTAAATCTCTTTTGAGTTCATTCTAAATTCAGAGAGAGCATGTTCCATGTTTAGAATCTTGAAAAATGATTTAAGTTTGATATCTAAAGAATTAATCTATTTAAAAGATCTCGAAACCCTAAATATTGATTCGCTTCAATGACGTAGCAATCACTTTTGTTAGAATTTTAATGTTTAATAAACATTGTTTATGTTCGAGAATATGAAAATTTTCTTCTGGTCATCTGTTTATTTTTTTAACTCAACAATTTTAAAAAATTAAAAAATTAATATTAAAATGTTATGAAGTATTTCTTGTTGAACTTTGATGTACGATGTTTCATTTTCTCAAATTATTTAAAAAAAACCAAATTTCATTATATGCAATGTTTACCTGGTTTTCAATTTTTATTATATTTATAACATTAAACTTTTATTTGGATGTTTAACCGAATTGCATACAATATTCTTTATTACCGATATAACGCTAAAAAAATATTTCACCAAAACTGAATTAACCATAGTACGTGTCACCATGTAGTATGGTTTATTAAAAAAATAATTATAAATTCTAATAATAAACGAGCAATCAGAAATAAGAGCATCTGAACATCAGAAGCCCGTTCAAATTTTTTTTTTTTAACTAGTTCGTTTATTTGGCAAGCTCAATCGCGTTAGCTTTACGGAGCCGATAGTTCATTGTTCTTTGTTTGTAACAAAATTCACTGAATTCTATGTCTAGAAGGAGTTGGGCCGAATACTCGCGGCTTACTCGAGGTTAGAGAGGTACATTGTCGAAGGATAGGATCAGGGGAGGGGAGCTTGGGGGTAAGGTTTCGTTGTCTCATCAGAGTGTTGTCGCCAGTATGAATGGTAGTGTGATTCTAGTTTCGTCTGGAGTTCGAACGGCTATAGTGACCAATAGGCGACGATGAGACTCATCGAGACAGGGGGACAAGACAAACAAAAACTATTAAAGAGAGACAAAAGACAAATTAATTAAATTCTTATACTAGACATTTGAAGAAACACATAAACCGACTGCATATAGCAGATATCGCGAGTTCCCAACACGTCTCTGATAGGAACATAGGGTTGTCTTCCTTGGGCCTCAAGGGTATTCAAAAGTCGCTCTCTGGCGGCGTAATTATCCGTACATTGCCAAACTGCGTGATCGATGTCATCGTAACCGTTTCCACACCGACAGATGTTGCTGTCCACGAGGTTTATTCTATTGAGATGAGCATCTAGCGAGTAGTGGTTGGACAAAAGTCTACTCATCACGCGAATGAAGTCACGACTTAAGTCCAAGCCTTTAAACCACGCTCTCGAAGAAACATAAGGAATAATTGAATGTAACCACCGTCCAAGATTTCCATTGCCCCAATCGGTTTGCCAACTCGAAAGGGTACTCTAAAATATCTTTTCACGCAATTGACGTGTTAGTACTTTTCAGTAAAAATACGCGGAATAATAATAGGTCGAAGTTGATCGGGAATCCCATGAGTTGCTTATTTCATGGTCAGATCATATTCAATTGAGGAACTGCAATTGGTGAAGTTAGCACGGTCTGGAGTGTAACAAGGAAGACACATATCTGACGATATATAGTGGTGGTAGATTCTCATAAATCGAGATTGTGTGTTCAGCCCAAGAATTTCTTCAAAATTTTCAATTATAAGTGTGTTCGTCACTCCGCATTTGATTAGTATTCTGAGAGAGAGAGCTCCCAGAAACGGTTCTGGAGGGGTGTTACTCCTGCCAGAACCTCGAGACTCATGTTATGCGTTGACTGTATACAGCCAAGAGCAATACGCAGACAATGATATTGAATTCGTTCCAATTTTATTAGGTGACATTTTCTTGCCGAGAGAAAGCAGAAAGAGCCGTACTCTAGAACAGAAAGAATTGTTGTTTTATAAAGCGTTATGAGGTCTCCCGGATGAGCACCCCACCATGTGCCGCAAATTGAACGGAGAAAGTTGATCCTCTGCTGACATTTTTGCTTCAAATACGTAATATGGATATTCCAAGTGCACTTTGAATCAAACCAGACCCCAAGGTACTTGAAAGACAATGATTGAGTAGTGTTTCTGCCCAAAATATTAAGCTGCATTTGGGCTGGGTACCGTTTTCGAGTAAACACTACCAGTTCAGTTTTCTGCGGCGAGAATTCGATCCCTAGATTCCTAGCCCAAGACGACAAGTTATCTAAGGAACTTTGCAATGGTCCTTGCAAGTCCACGGCATGTGGTCCCTCTTATGGAAACCACACCGTCATCTGCAAGTTGTCTTAGCGTGCATTGTTCTGCCAAACAGGTGTCGAT